CGACCTCTCAAAATGTGACTTCTATGTATCTTGCCAACGAGTGCCCATATAACAAGACCCCTTGAGAGAAGACTTGTATTGGGCGTAATGTTGCAACACCAGGGTGTAGCACAGGAAGGCGGTCTCCTGGCTGACTCATAAAGTGGGTTGAAATCCCTAACCTATATAGCCAGAAAGGGAGTGTGAAGAGTGTTCATGGCAGTCCTCTCCTGCAAACGAAGGACTGTGTCATACCAGTCTTACCAGTCTTCTAGTGGGCCACCAAGGGAATGGCTCCCCTTGTGGTCTGGGTGGAAAAGGCCACAGAGTCATTTAGAATGTGCCAAGGCTTTTGATGTCAAAAAGTCTAGCACAAGTTGTTTGCTGAGACAGTGCCTTCAGGAGCCAGAGTTGCTGTTGTGGTTGGTTGTAGCTTCTTCAAGATGTGCAATTTCAAAGCAGCTTGTGCTGGCATCAGGTAATCCTTTGCTTAAAGAGCCAGGGCATCAGGGAAAGGTCAAACAACTGTCAGTGACCCAAAGTCTTATTTACAGGAAAATAAACATTAAAAGTATTGCTTACAGTAGAGGCTTATTATTAGCAAGGATTTAACAGTTTTTTGGTGGTGCTTTTGTTGTTGTTGTTGTTGTTGTTGTGGTTCATGGGGCTTGAACTCTGGGCCTGGGCACTGTCCCTGAGGTTTTCAACTCAAGGCTACTGTTCTACCACTTGAGCCTTAGCACCACTTCTGGTTTTCTGGTGGTTAATTGGAGATTGTCTCAGACTTTCCTGCCTGGAATGGCTTTGAACCATGATCCTCAGATCTCAGCTTCCAGAGTAGCTAGGATTACAGGCGTGAGCCACCCATGCCCAGCGATGTAACAGTTTTTAATAGTGCTCAGCGCTCTAACAATATTTACCTATTGCCCTAGCAACCCAGGGAGAAAGGATCCCTCTGATAAGCCATAGGGCCATTGTGTCATCTCTGTATCATTCTAATTTCAGTGCATATACTGCCAAAGGAGCCCTTTTCAACAGTTATTTGCTTATATGCCTCTCCTGTGTCAGGCACTGTTAGATGCTGGAATACTGCTATCAACAAGATCGAAGCTGTCATCCTTACTGTTTGTGGGGTGCCTGGCTTTCACATAGCTAGTTGAGAACACAATGCACATACTGAATGCTTGTTGAAAGACTTGGATCTCAAGCAAAGGTAGGCATCAAAAAGTGTTTTAAGCAGGGCACTGGTGGCTCACACCTGTAATCCTATCTACTAATTGGAGGATCAGCTCTTAGGATCATGGTTCAAAACCATCCTGGGCAGGGAAGTCCATGAAAGTCTAATCTCTAATTAACCAGAAAAAAGCTGGAAATGATTCTGTGGCTCAGGTAGTAGCGCACAAAAGAAGTTCAGGGACAGTGACCAGGCTGTGAGTTCAAGCCCCAGAACCAGCAAAAAAATAAATAAATAAAGGAATTACACTAAGTGAAAATAAGCCAGTCAGAAAAATACAAATACTGTATACTTCTTATTTGAGGTGCTTTTCTTTGATCAGACACAGGTATCTCTGTCACTGTGTGCATATGAGTGTTTCTGGTTACTGAACCCAAGTTCCTTGCACATAATTAGGCGAGTCTCTACCACTGAACTATATCCCCAGTTCCCCAGAACTCCTGATCAACTTGTCTCAACTTCCTGAAGAATGCAGTTATAGGTGAACATTATTATGCCCATCTATACGAGTTAAGTTAAAGTACTCTCAAACCCTTAAAAAAGAAAAAGAATTAGCCAGGTGCTGGTAGTTCACATCTGTAATCCCAGCTACTCAGCAGGCTGAGATCTGCCCATTGAAGCCAATCCAGGCAGGAAAGTCCATGAGATTTTTTTTTTTTTTTTTTTGACTGTCCTGGGACTTGAACTCAGAGCTTGGGTGCTGTCTCTGAACTGGAGCCACAACTCCATTTTTGACTTTATGGTAGTTAATTGGAGATAAGACTCTTAACAGATTTTTCTACCAGAGCTGGCTTCAAACTGCAATCCTCAGATCTCAGCCCATGAGAACAATTTCTTTCCCTTCCCTCCTCCCTCTCTCTTTGCCAGTCCTGGGGTTTGAACTCAAGACTTGGACACTGCCCTTGAGCTTCTTTTGCTCAAGACTAGCACTTTACCATTTGTGGTCACAGAGCAACTTCCTGCTCCCCCCTCCCCCCCCACCAGTTCCAGGGCTTTCACTCCGGGTCTGGGCACTATCCCTGAGCTTCTTTTGCTCAAGGCTAGAACTCTACCACTTGAGCCACAGTACCACTTTCGGCTTTTTCTGTTTATATGGTACTTAGGAATTGAACCCAGGGCTTCATGCATGCTTGGCAAACACTCTACCACTAAGCCACATTTCTCAACCATGTGAGACTTTTATCTCCAATAAACTACTCAAAAAGCTGGATGTGGCTCTGTGGCTCAAGTGGTATAGAGTGCTAGCCTTGAGCAGAAAGGCTCAGGAACAGTCCCAGGATCAAAAACACAAAACAAAAAGAATGGTTCATACTGGGGATGTGCCCTGCTGGTAGAGTGCTTGCCTAGCATGCATGAAGTCCTGGGTTTGAGTCCTCAGTACCACATAAACAGAAAAAGCTGGTAGTGGTGCTGTGGCTCAAGTGGTAGAGTACTAGCTTTGAGCAAAAGAGTGCCTAGGCACTGGCTCTGAGTTCAAGCCCCAGGACTGGCAAAAAAATAAATAAAAATTTTTAAAAAGGTGGTTGCCAGGGGTTTGAGCAGGGAGAAGTTGCAGTTGTTAATAGATACAATTTCAGTTTTGCAAGATGAAAAAAATTCTAGAGATCTTTCGTACAGGAAGTGTCTAGGGCTGGGAAGGGGGCTCAGTGGTAGAGCGCTTGCCTTGCATGCATGAGGCCCTGGGTTCGATTCCTCAGCACCACATAAGCAGAAAAAAAAAGCCGAAAGTGGCGCTGTGGCTCAAGTGGTAGAGCGCTAGTCTTGAGCTGAAATGCTGAGGGACAGTGCCCAGGCCCAGAGTTCAGGCCCATGATCCCCCCCCCCAAAAAAAAAAAGAATGTGTCTATAACTAACATTACTGTGTAATATGCTCTAAAATGGTTACAATAGTAAAATATATATGCTTTTATTTTATTTTTTTTGTCGGTTGTGGGCCTGAACTCTGGGCCTGGGCACTGTCCCTCAGCTCTTCAGCTCAAGGCTAGCCCTCTACCACTTGAGCCACAGCGCCACTTCCGGCTTTTTCTGCTTATGTGGTGCTGAAGAATCGAACCCAGGGCCTCATGCATGCAAGGCAAGCATTCTACCACTGTGCCACCTTCCCAGCCCCAATATATATGCTTTTAAAGCACAATTTATTTTTTTTTCAGATAGGGTGTAGCTATGTAGCCAAGGCTGGTATCCAAATACTGGGCTCAAGTGTTCTTCCTGCCTCACTTTCTCACACAATTGAGACTGCAAGTGAGTACCTAGCTCGATCACTCTTTCGCTCCTTCCTTCCTTTCCCCTTCCTTCTCTTTCATTCTTTCTTCTTTTCCTTTTCTTCCAGCTTGGGGCTTGAACTCAGGGCCTGAGCACTGAGCCTGAGCTGCCTTTGCTCAAGGCTGGCACTCTACCACTAGTCACAGCGCCACTTCTGGCTTTTTCTGTGTATGTGGTACTGAGGAATTGAACCCAGCTTCATGCATGCTAAGCAAGCAAGCACTCTACCACGAAGCCACATACCTAACCCTTAAACAATTTTTTTTTTTGCCAGTCCTGAGCTTGAACTCTGGGCCTGGGCACTGTCCCTCAGCTCTTCAGCTCAAGGCTAGCGCTCTACCACTTGAGCCACAGCACCACTTCTGGCCTTTTCTGCTTATGTGGTACTGAGGAATCAAACCCAGGGCCTCATGCATGCAAGGCAAGCACTCTACCACTGAGCCACCTTCCCAGCCCCTTAAACAATTTCTTTAAAAAAGTATTTTTAGGAACAAAGGTAGACAGCCAGGAGACAAGCTAATGAGCCTGGCCTGAGGATAGTCGTAAGGAGAGGATCGATTTTTTGTTTTCTTTTTAAAGTAAAATCTATTCAGTAAAATCGATTTTCTTTTTAAAGTAAAATCTGTTTTGGGAAAAGGTGTGACCATAAAATCCTACAAACTACTCTACTATAGAAAACATGATACGTCTTTTATCCTGCGCACTGGGGTTTTTTCATTCTGCAAAACAGAAGTGGAATAGGAAGTTCGTTTGATTCGAAAAAAGCGAGCTAGAACGAGGTGTGCGTCCTGGAGACTACATTCCCCATCATGCATTGCTCCTCGAGGACGCAGGCAACGGTACGCATTACTTTTGCGACTGGAATGGGCAGGATGTAAGACTACATATCCCAAGATGCAAAGATTTCCCAACAGTAGTTCGGCGCTGGGTTTTTTTTTCCGGCTAAGAGAGCGCGAGAGGAGGAGTGTTTCCACTGGGGATCCCCGCAATAAACCGGAAGACGGAAGAAAGTGGAGGGAACCTGCCTCATCCTAATTCAAAGCAGTTCCCGTACAGGCCGACAAGACATTACAGATTCCCGTCCCGGCTTTATTGTTTCCCAGAAGCAGTCACCAGCCCCCATTGGTCGAAGGCTTCGAAGTCCTCGAAGCCCCAAATCGAAGTTAACGGCGATTCCCCATTGGCCCTCGCCTTTTGCGCAAGCGCGCCGGGGTCCGACTCAGGTCCCGCGGGGCCGGCGAGAAGCCATTGGGCAAAGCCCGCCAACTTGGAGCTCGGATTGGTAGTTGCTAGCGGGAGCCTGGTTTCTTCCTCGACTTCTGCGGACGCTGATGTGTGATTGGTTAAAATCCGCGGGCGCCTGCCGGTGATTGGACAGGCGTCGAGGGTGGAGTGTGACCATTGGCTGGTGCTAGGGCCAACCCTCCTCGGCCAGACAGCGAATGATGAAATGGGAACGGGGAGGGGAAAGGCCGCGACGTGAGCGCGCGACCTCCGGCGCCATTTTGTAGAGAAACAAGCGGAGTTAACCGAAGAGGGGGATTGTGGAGAACCAGAGTCCGAAGGACCCAGGAGTTTCCCTGTGTCCAGCGCAGCCGGAACCGCCTGAGGTCAGCGGGGCTGGGGGTTTGCTGGTGGTGTCAGCCACGGAACGCGAGTGCGGGTGAGGGAAGGGTCGGGGCGGGGGGGTTTGAGCTGGGGCCATTGGGAGCGTTTTTCAGAGCTCCGGGGGGAAACGAGGGGCAGCTGGGACGGGGAAGTGGAGCGAGGCGGGAGAGGCCGACTCCGGTCGTATGTCTCGCGAGGGGCTCTGGGTCCGGAGGAGGCTTGGGCAGAGCGGAGCGCTGGGAGCGGGTGAGCCCCGCGGTG